AGCTTGAAGAGTAGGATTGAAGATTACATTGCAAGTGTTTACAATAGATGGAGAGAAGAGAAACGAGCAGATAATCTGTTTGTATGATCTTTTCACTTATGTTTTTTTTCCTTTTCTTTGTACATATGAAGAAATTGTTGTGGTGTGTACATAAGTTTGGTTGTTGGTCTTTCCTCAAGGGAACATGATTGCTTAACTCTTTCCTCAAGGATAAACAGGTTTAAGAAAGCATATCGAGAAAGCTTTTGTCCAATCTCCCATCATTCAACATATTAAAGACCATGCTTATCGTTGAAGCATCTCCACAGAACCCGCAACTTCTCATTTCTTTGATGAGTTCAGCTGATGCTGCTTTGTCACAATCTCTAAGACATGCCCTAATCAGAGTATTGTACGTACCGCTGTCTGGGAGAGGCCCGTCCTCTTTCATTTTCCTGAACAAAGCATCTGCTTCCTCCTTTAAACCTTTCCTACAAAATCCTGAGATCATTGTATTGTATGTTATAACATTAGGCTTCACTCCTTTAAGGCCTAGGCTACAGAATAATTTCCAAGCATCTTCCACCTTTTCATCATCTTGCTAAGAACAGCTAAAGCAAGAGAGAGTTGGGAGCAGCGACAGAAACAGTTGATCAAAATACTGTAAGTATAGAGATCATGTGAAATTCCCATCATTTGCATCTGCTCGCCCAGAGAAATCACAACATCAAACTTCTTCATCTTNNCAATAGCACTTAACAGTTTACTGAAATCAACAATGGAAGGTAAAGGACGAGACTGAACCATCTCACTGAACAGATCAATAGCATCGTCTAACTTAATATCNTGAAGAAACCCATCATCTCTAATCTGCTCTCTGTAACCATAGCTACCACCAGAGAAAGCTCGTTCCAAGCAACAAATGGAAAACGAAGGAGAAGNAGTTCCAAGATTACCTTTCACCAGAAAACTCTGGCGAGCAAATCTGTTGGCCGTAATCGAAATCCAAAACCTCATCTTCTCGATTGAGTTTTCTTCTCGATCTCTTTGCCTATCGACCTCTCTCTGTAAAGTCCCTAAATGGACATGAACTGTGTGGGACTGTGTGTTGTTCGGTTTAGTAATCCGGTTTATTGACCAATTTGGGATTACTGGCCAATTTTTCTTTTTTTCTTATTT